CGGCCGCGGCCAGCCCGCTGCCGACGGGTAGGTCGAGCAGTTTTTGCAGCTCGCCACATTGCTTCTGCAGCAGCTTGGCGACGCGAGTCGCGCGCGAGGGCAGCTCCGCGCACAGCCGCGGCGCGTCGTCGTGCAGCCCGCGCAGCGCATCGACCAGCCGCCGCACGTGCCCCTGCAGCGCGGCGGCAGATGCGCCGCTCACCTCCCTCCGCAGTCCGGTGGCGTCTGGCTCGCGCGGCTTGCGGCCGATGCTGCCCTCCTTGAGGCGGCGCAGCAGCGGCAGGAGCGCCCTCTCGTTGAAGGCGTCCCACTCGTTCGACGCGTACTGCGGCAGCTCGGCCAGGATTTTGGCGAACTGGTCCGCGCGGTGCGGCTGGACAGGCTGGAGGCGCGTCCGCTCCTCCGCCGCCCACGCGGTCACGCGCGCGACGGCCACCTGGCGCGCGCGGAGGAGGAGGGTGAGCGGGCGCCAGTGGTACGGCCGAAAGCGGCACGGGCGCGCGCTCTCACCTCGAGGCTGTCAGCCATGTCCACCTCGTGCTGCTTGCGCTTGGAGCGCTGCGTTTGGAAGCACGTGCCCGGGCAGGCGGGCGCGGCGGCGTGAGAGAGCTTGAGCCACCAGCGGAGCGCGTCCACGCGCCCAAAATTTGACGAGCGCCGCGGCTCGGCCATCGCTCGACAGGATCAGGGGATGGACGACGCAGACGGTGTGTGTGTGTACACCAGCCAGCGTCGATTTTTGGAAAATAAAAAAAAGCTAGGAATCCCTAAAAATTCTTTTTCTGTCTTTCTTTCTTTTTTAAAAGATGATTCTGGCGGTAAACTTGAAAGACCTAACCTAACTTGAAAGAATTCTTAAAATACAAGCCTCTCTCACAGCACACTGGCTTGAACCACTGGCGCGCACTGGCACTAACACAGGTACACCCGGGGGGTCCCGACCCCTCCAGCACGGGGGGGGGGGGGGGGGTGTCGGCCATGGCTTTAGATGTGCAGGGGGGGTACCGAGCAGTGTGCGGCCGCTCCAGGCCCACCCACCTTTGGTGTGAGGTTAAAAATAAAATATTCTTAGCTTCAAGCCCCCCTCCGAGACTAGAGACAGTCACCACCCGTACACAGGAGAGATGGGAGTGCCCCCCGCCCCCACTTGCCCTGACTACACAGGATAGCGTGCCCCGATAACGGCGACACATAGTGGGGGACACTGCGCAAGGAGGGGGTGCGAAGGCTCATTGGGGTACTAGGTGGGACCATGAGGGGGGGTGGGCGGGGTCCGGGGGCGGCGCGGTCTCACCGCGGTCCGACGTCGGTTGGTCTTCGGCGTGGCGAGGGCGGGCGCGCAG